GGACTCCCATCTCCCGGAATTCCCCAGTCAGCCAATTTATGCTGGCTGGGGAATTCTGGGAGTTGGAGTCCACGCATCTTAAAAGCTACTCAGCTTGGGAAACGCTGCTTATAGAAGCGGAGCTCAGCTCTTTCAGACGCCGGAATCGAGCGAGGCGGGCGCGGGGAAGATGCTTCCGAGGCCCTCTGAGCAAACTTTTCTCTTTCGGGCACAACCGAGCCCAGCGCCCTCCTTCCTGCCTTGGTACATCAGCCAACCCGTGCAGCTGCCAGCAAACACCGGCCCGAGTCCGGAGTGGCGATCCTCGGCCGCCCCTTCTCTGCCCGCTCCGCTCCCCCTCATCCCAAGCCAAGGAAAGCCGAGGGGCGCGGGGCGGTCGGAGGAGGTGCCGGGGGCGGGGCGGGGGAGGTATTAGGCAGGGCCCCCGGATCGAGGCGGGGCTGCGGAAGAAGCAAGGCACCGGCGGAGCTGCGGGGCCGGGACAGCCAGAGCCGGAGGCTGAGCTAGTGGCTGGGATCTCGCTCTGCTGCTACTGTGGGGAAGAAGCCCGGCGCTGCTCGGACGGGGCGGCTGCTGGCTGCCGAGCTCGGCATCCTTCCCGCTCCATCTTCTGCTCCGGCCGTCCCGAGGGAACAAAGGGCGCCCGGACCCAGCGCGCCATGCCCGGCGGCCGCCTCTGCTGGATTCTTCTGCTCCTGCCCTTGTGCAGCTTCGGCGAGATCGGCGCACCGAGCCCGCCCAGGCAGTGAGTAGCTACGCGCAGCCCTCGGGATGCCGTTCCCCGAACAAAGCGCACCCAGCAAGGGCTCCGTATTCCGCCTCTCTCCTTCTCTTTCCTTTTCAAGCCGAGCCTCCCGCGCCAGGAAGAGTCTTTCTGAGTAGGGCTCTGCTTGCCGGGGTGGTCGCGAGGCATACGCAGAGAGCACCTTGACCGCCTTCCTTTCTGGCAATCTCCGGGCTGCAAAGGACACAGGGGCATCCGAAGAGGAAGGCTATAATTTGTGCAATCACGCGCGTTCACACGCACATGTTTTTAGCGAGCAGATTTTACGCATCTGGGCCGGTCCTATGAGAGATGAGTTGTGGTCCATACAAAGTTGCACGCTGTTTGCGTTGATTCAAAACCGCGTCTTTGCTGTCCTTAACAGTAGGGCTTATCAGTTTAACAAATGTTAAAAGCTGTGTTCCCAGGCTTAGATTTGGGATGGGTTTGATTGTTCGTTTCCAACCAAACAATCCGATTGGGGGGGGGGTCTAATTCAGGGATTGGATTGAGAACAATTAATCTGGCCTAATTCTGCCCTTGCCATCTGATGTGGTAGCATCGAAAAGCAAGCAAGGGGAGAGGGGTGGGTTTTGACATCCCACTTCTGGCCTGAATTGTGTAGAATTTGAAAAGTGCTTGTTGTGGCAGGTCACCTAATTCTGTGAGGTTCTCCAGGCTGCCTTCCTTGTTTCCAAATGGTCTGTCTGCTTTGCTAACAGAAGCCTGGATATGTACCTAAACTCAGTTCAGAGGAACATTCATTGGCTAGCTAGCTTAAATTTAACAGTAGCAGAGTTGGAAGGGACCTTGGAAGTCATCTAGTCCAACCCCCTGCTCACGCAGGAGACCTGTACTAAGGAAGGAGAGAGATATTTCTGGGAGAAGATGCAGAAAGTATGACTTGTGAAACGCCAGATTTCTTTGGTAACTAGCAAGTACTTTTGTTTTTCTGAGATAAATTATGCAAAAATCATTGCCTATGATAAATTATGCAGAAATCATTGCATGCTATTTCCCACCACCACCACCTTTCATTACCCTACAATCAAGTTTGTCACACCAGGCTACTTGGTTGTAACTCCTTCCCAAATATTAAGTATTAAACAGCCTCTGACACTTCCTTTGTGAGGAGCACATGACATTTTGCTTCTAAGCTGAGTGTATAAGCTTTAAATTCTGAGACCCCCTTTGTACATTTTGTCTAAAGGACATCTATTCCCCCACAAGCTGGGGCGCTGGTGAATATTGCCTAATTCTCAAACCAGTTCCCAAAGCAAGGTTAATAAACTTTATGCTTTGTTTTAGGATGTAGCGAAGGCACACCAAGCTGGTAACGATGCAGAGTTAGGTTCTCGAGGTGCCTTTAGCAATTCCTTCTCAGTGACTAAATGCTTCAGCCTGTACAGATTCCAAAGCCAATACCTTTCCTTTTAAGATCTGTCAAAACAGTTAGCAAGTCAGATGCTGTCCTAGGGTTTGTGACTGCATTTCTGTGCAATGTACATTCTTGGTGTGACTCTTTCTAAGCCCTAAGCCAAAAAAAAAAAAAGTCAGAAATGCTCGATTTACAAAAAGATGGAACAGTGATTTTTTAAGTGCGGTGACTTTTAGGAGCAGAACAATGCCATTTGCAAGACAATGACAACATATTGGAAGAAGAATTTTAAACGACATGTGTTCCCCATATGGGATCATCGCCCACAGTGGATGTGGCCACTCACAGCTGTTTGCCTAATAGAAGCAGATGTATATTTTTTTTTATTCCTCTCTCCATCCCACCCCCTCCTGATACAGAAAACATGGCCAAAGATTTACAATTAGAAAATGAAATATGTATTTTTAGCCTGGTAATATGAGGAAAACATGCTATAGCCTACCCTCCCTGGTTCTTAGCATGCCCAACACAATCTGCATGATGCACACCCAGGAGATCTGAACTTTTGCAGTTGTAATGGGATCTCCATGGCAATGCATCCTGCTGAGGAAGAAACACAAGAGTTGGAATTTGAAAAAAGACAGGGTTGGGAGCTATAAAATAGCATGACCCTCAACCCCTGGGGTGCCTATTAATCTCCAGTTAGAGAGACCCAAGGGCTGGGCCAAAACGAAACAACTAGTTAAATATATATTTTAAAGCGTGTGACATGAAGAGCTGTCTTCCGTGAAGGGTCTTCAGAGAGCGGTAGAAGCGGGTGAGGGAAGCTGATGGATATCATGATGTCACACGGAGGGCATAAATAATTCTGCAAGAACCTGAGAATATGGTTCAGCCTTTTGTGAAGCTCTAAAGTATGAGTAGTTAATACACACTATCTTAGCCTTGTAACAGAAGATAGAGAACGCTTCTGGCCTTATGCCAGAAGAATGAAACAATAGACCAAAACTTGATAAGTATGACCATGGCCAGGAGAGCCAACAGGACAATTTAAATAGCAACAGGGGACCTTTAAGATTCCTCCCATAAACACAGAATTATTTTTTACTGGGGGGGGGGGGGTGAGATCAAGGGGGATGCGAGACTTCTTGAGCATCCATTCAGGATTCCTTCATCTTTTAATGCAATCACAAGCTTCTCAAATTCCAGCCTCCCAGGATGGATAATAAATAAATAAATCAGATTTTTTTTATTTTTATCAAATTTATTTTAATAAAATGCTTTTGGAGTAAAAATCTATCTAAAGATAGTTTCCTATTTAAGATATGTGAATAATTTAGTTTATTCAGCATGAAATGGAGCTTAGTTATGTAGCATGAGGAGGCTATATACTCTGCAATATTGGGACTCTTGGTGAGTCAACCAAGGAAGTCAACAGCGGGTCAGAGGAAGAGCTGCTGCGGGGCAGAGATGACGGTTGCTCTTTAAAAATTATGATTTAAATCGAGTTGATTTAAATCAAGCCTTTTTACTAGTGATTTAAATCATGGTTTAAATCAACTTGATTTAAATCTAATCCATCCGGCAGCCTCCCTCATGAAATATGTTTCAGAGTCCCTATCTATTACCTAATAGTCTTTAGAAGTTCTCTTTAACGGACCTTTTGTAAGTATGGTACTCTGTGTGTCTTTGTGTGTGTGTTTGAGAGGAAGGGAGAAAAATTAAGAAAAGCAGTCATATCCGTTTTTGAGAGCATCGATCAGGTTTTATCGTTTCTTGCCTTTCCTCCCCGATAGCAAATGAGAAATGTTAGTACTGCCTCCCATCTGTATTACTGTACAAAATCCTTGGGATAATGGATGGTTATTACAGCCTCTGCTTCCTTTTCACCAAACTTTCTTTTTCCAGATCCCTTGGGTGGAATAATCCTGAAGTCTGTACAATAGTTTCCAAGATAAGCACAACTTTTCATTGCCGTGAAATCTCTCTTTTTTTTTTTTTCATCCCTCTCTTCTTTTGCGCATCCCTACAGATGGGAGGAGAAGTTTTACAAAATACACACGATGTTCTTGTGTTGACTTTTGATTTTTTTCCCCTTTTTCCAGGGGCTACTTGATTGCGGTTCCTTCTGTTTTCCGATCTGGTGTGGAAGAATCTATTAGTGTGACTATTTTTAATCCAGTAAGAGAGACAACGGTCCAGATCCAACTTGTTGTCAAAGGAGAGATGGTGGCTCATGCCCATGGAGCAATTCTAGGTAGGCTGCCATTCATGTATACAGTACATAATTGAATGATGCTGTATTTTCCTGAAAACAAGACCTATCCCAAAAATAAGCCCTACCTTGATTTTTACACGTATCCTTCAGGAAAGGCCTCTGGTCGCAAAATGGGGCTGGGGGGGTGCTGTACATGTCAATCCAGAGCCTTGTGAAGACCTCTGACAGTAAAATGGAGGCCAGGGCGCTGCGTGCATCAATCTGGACCTTGTTTCTTGGCTGCAGAGGCCTTTCCTGAAGGCCTCTGCTGGCGAAAGGTCGGCTGGGGGTGCCGTGTGCAAGTGGCAGCAAACGGTTGCAGAAGAAGTGGGCTGGCAGTAGCCACATGAGCTCCTGCTGGGCAGGGCTGTCAGTGCCGCCATTGCGAGATAAGACAGTGGAAGACATCTCCCCAAAAGAAGACCTAAAGCCTCCTTTGGAGGCCAAAAAACAAACAAACACACACACACACAACCCCAAGTCCAGGTTTTATTTTCAGGGAAACATGATAATAGACTAGAGCAAAGCTATTTGGATCCATCAAGGAAAAACAGTTTTGTGGACTACTATATTGCAATGTTTCTCAACCATGGATCCTTGAAGATGGGTGGACTTCAACTCCCAGAATTCCCCAGCCAACTTTGCTGGTTGGAGAATTCTGGGAGTTGAAGTCCACGTATCGTCAGGGGCCAAGGCTAAGAAACACTGCTTTATTGGATATCTGATACCCAATTTGTTGTGTTCATAACCCAATTCATCCTTTGCCTGAATGCTTCTGTTGTGTACTGCAAGTCCATCACTATGATAACAACAGCAGCAGCAGCAGCACAATACTAATGATACAAGCTCAGAGGTATTTCATTTAGTGATACAAATATGTATCACCTAGATTTAAGTGTGAGTTTTCCTGATTGTAAAGGACTAGAGTTTTAGATGTTTTTATAGCTACTTGTACCGTTTTGTCAGTTCTATATTTCTTCTAATGTCCTTAATGCAAAATTAGAAGTAGATAGCAATAGTCAGAAAGTCAAATATTAGCAATGTCAGTTCATAAAGAAGTGTGACTTTACCACATACTATGGTTGTCAAGGGCATAGTTCTACAACAAAAGTCTAAACTAAGCATTGTGGGAAATGAGTAAATTATTTTGCAAAAAAACAATAAGCAAAAAAAATTGTGCTTATTTCCCCCCAAGAAATAAGTACTACTATTCTTCACGGGACTTTCAGAAAAGCAGGCATGGGATTATAGCCTGAAAAGTTAAACCCTATTCCCAGATATGTCTCCCTCACTTAATTCCTTTTTAAAAGAATTTGCTAGAATTTATTTTCTATAAGGATGCTTGTGGTCCCAAAATCAGTCTTCCAGTTCTGGGAAAGAAGATGCCATTAAAATTTAAATATTTTTGCGACTCATACAGTAATTCAAAAAGTAGAGATTACAAACAAATCTTCTACGATTATGCAGGCCAACATTCCTGAAATTAAAACCGGAAAGCCATGGAGCATCTTTCTTTGGCAGCTTGTATGTCAATTATTTAAAAATACCCTTGAAATGTATCATTCCAAAGTGAATCATGTACTTTATAAGTAATTCCATTATCTAAGTGTCGTATGCCAGCAGAATTTTTCACAACAGTATGAGAACTGAAGAAGCTTTAAAATTGTAGCTCATTCATCCAAAAGGCTTTGTTGATAGCAGCTGTTTTTCGTTGTCATCTTTGCCACAAACAGCTGCTTTTGACTCTTGTTGTGTCCCACAAAAGGTGCTTGCATGTCCTTTCCTCTTCCAGCTATTGCAAATGTAGCATTTATGGACAAGTTTAAAGCTGCAACAGAAGCCTTTGAGGTTTGACATTTATGTTAAGTTTAGTTTACTTTATTGTCATTGCACATGGTTCAATGAAATTAAATGCTGTCTTCATTGTACATTACAATTATAAAAATAAAAGCACTAACATACATCCTTTACATTCGATATAATTGAAATTGAAAACCCAATATTGCATTATACCGTAGAATTCAATATGGATTGAATTTTGATTCAGTATGTTATTGGGAGTTTAGCTCAAGAATATCACCCTGATCCCTATCTCCGGAGTGGGTTGCTTTGTACATGGCTGAGCCCTCACCCTGTCCTTCTGGTATTCCTAGTTGAGAGATGATGCTCATGCCAAGGGTTTTTTTTGCCAAGGCTTGTGGATTATCTTGCAGCTGAACTGGCAATTATAGCCAGAACAAACACATTTATATTTTTGCTGAGTATCTGTGCTAGGTTTGTTACCCATTTGTATTAAAATAGGAAAATAGTCAAAATATTTATCTTTATGGGACTTCAGTGGGAGAAAAATAATGATTCCTCACCCTCTTTCCTTTATCTTGCAGGTAAAGGAACAATCAAGCTTAAGGTGAGTTCTTATAACTTAGTTAGAACTATCAGGTACTTAACAACTGAACAGAAGCTTGTGGAATTGAATGGCTACTTTTCGCTTTTAGGATACAAGAGATAAAATTGGCTGCCCTTGTGCCCGAAAAGAAATCGTCCTTTGTCGTTTAAACCATCAGTTTCACAGGACATCTTTTGGATGGTTCCCACATTTCTCCCCCTTCCAGGCTTTTGTGCTTCGTTTTAGCTCTCTTTGAATATTGCTTGCTCGAGTGAAGTGTGTGCCAGTCCCATTATTTTTTTGCTGCTCAAGGAATGGGTTTACTCTGAACTTGGTCTGGAACCTTGGCAACAGTGACTGCAGCATTTCTTCAGGGTGGCTGCGACTAAGACCACACATTCCTTGGCAGCATCTCTGAATGCGAGTTCTTTCAAAGCAGCACATACCAACTCCTTCAGCCATTGCCAAGAGGTCAGATGGTGGACCTATCATTGACCATCTCAGCTCTGGTCCAGTCTCACCCTAGCCTCCGCGGTGAAATGCTGCTGCTGTTTGCAGTTGTAGCAGAATTTGCGGTTGCTGGAAAACCTTGAAAATGGCTATTGATCTGCTTCTGATAGGTGGACTAAGCTGCTCTGTTTTGCTTAAACAGATGGTCCACTTCTGGGTCCCACAGAAGCCAAATCTGAACTGAATGCCCTGCTCTGAATATGTTAGCAACCCTCTTCCTGCATTAGGCCATGCTTATATACTGCATTTGCTTTGCTTGTTGGAGTTAGAATCTTGCAAAGTAGATTATGTTGGCTGTTTAATTTAGTAGGGGATCTGAACTTATATAGTTGTTGACAGATCTTAACTGCTGGTCAGATTGCACTCTTAGAATTGTATTCATTTCTATATAAATAACTGGGCTAGCATTTGGAAAGAAACAGCATCTACAATATAATGGGTGTGTATTATTATTATTTTATTGCTTTCTTTCTGCTTTATAAATGAACATTTTTTACGAGAACAGATTTCTACCCACTCAAATAAAGTATACATTCATTCCAAGAATGTTATCCATTTACTCATGCATGATATTGCTGAGAAAAGCTCATTACTCTTTCTTGTAATTCGGTTTATTCAACCATTTCTGCATCTTCTCTGAGCCATTGATCTTCAGGTATTTTGGAACATACCTCCCATGTTTCTTATTCCTAGGAACTCCAGTCCAAATTATCGAAGAGTGACAGATTGGAGAAAGCTTCTCTGAAACTTGACAAGCCAAATGTTTCATTTATGATATATTTTGAAAACCTGTAACAAACTAGGATTACCATCTAGCTCTATGTGTATAGGTAACCTTTAAAGCACCATTTCCAAAAAATCGTGTTAGACAATATGGCAAGAATCTTCCTCTTTTGCAGAGAAAGAAGATGCTAGAAAAAGGATACTGTGTGGTCCTGTCCACTTTGGATTCTAGTCTTTGCCTGCTTAAGGTTCTTCACCCAGCCTTAAACCACCAAAAGACAATTCTTGAGGAAACAGAGTTCTCCCTTCCTGATCTGAAGTAATGACATAGAGTTGTATCCACAGATAGAAAACCAAGAAGGTCCCCAAATTCAGCATTTCTCTGACTTGAAAAAACTAAGGGAAAGGCAAGAAAACAAAATGTGTTGCCTATAATGAGAAAACAGAAAGAACATGGAAAGAATATGGTGGAGTGAAAGTTTGGAAAAGCAGTGGTGGAGAAATTAAGAAGCAAGAGGTCTGGGTTGACTGTGAAAATGCTTTGTCAAATCATCTTGGAGTTTGCATTCCTATAGATCTGAACTAATGTTTCTCTAAACCTTAGCAAACGTAAGACCGCTGGAATTATCTTCTATAATTCCCTAGCTAATCACGTTGGCTGGGGAATTCTGGGAATTGAAGTCCACTTTAAGTTGCCATGGTTGAGGAACACTGATCTAAGCTGTTAAAAAGGACAGGGAACTTATTCAGTGTAACGTTTTTAGGATCTCTGCTAGAATTAGTTCTGCCCAAGACTAATAGTCATAAATCCAAGTTCCATCCTGGATTTGTCTCCTAGGTTCCCTCAGGACTTCGGGGCCAGGCTCAGGTAAAAGTGTGGGGCAACCATCACTTGGCTGAGGAGGGCTACATCTTCCACAACTATACTACCGTGACTATTGATAGCAAAGGCGCTTCAGTCTTCATTCAGACAGATAAGTCGGTGTACAGGCCAAAGCAGAAAGGTGAGAGCATTGCACGGGAGCATTGATTGAGTCAGCAGGAGCCTGATGTTTTGTACTGGGGCGATTTTGATTCTCCCTGATTATGTTTTTCTTTTCTTTTTTAGTGCTGATCAATCTGTTTACCGTGAACCCAGATTTGCGACCAATCAACGAGAAGGTAAGGATTTCCCTAAGCTTGGGACTTAAGAATCCGTATTTCATAGAAGTAGGCTAGATCAGTGCATCTGGTTGGAGAATTCTGGGAGTTGACTGGGCAATTCTGGGAATTGAAGTCTGCATATCTTATGAGATTGAGAAACACTGGTCTAGATTCATTTCATTTAAGAAGGATCTTGGCTGACAGCCAGTGGGGAAAATCAGTCTTTATTTAAGACTTGAGAGACTGCTCTTGGAGTAGAGAATAATACAGGTAGACCTCAGGTAACAATTAGATTGTAGAAGATTGTAGATTGTAGAAGTTTATTTATATGCCGCCCTTTTCCCTGGGGGGACTCAGGGCGGCTCACAACCCAA